GTATTCTATATAACTCCAATAATCACTGGTATAATTAATAATTGATGGGCTTATATATCTGTGTTAATAGAAATTAACCAGGAAACAAATTTAACCTGATGTTGCCAGAACCACTTAGGCAACAGTAAGTTCAAGTCCACAGCTAGAGCTGTTTGTGAGCTCCATTCCAAATGAATTAATTGACATTGTTGACATTTAAAATGTAATTGCCACTTGAAGCAAAATGGTAGCATTTTAATTCAAATAACTTATAAAAACTCACAATAAATTGATTTATGTCCCATCAACAATGTTTTATTTTTCAACCAGGATTTTTACGCAATGTAGTGTCTGGAGAACACTATCGTTTTGTTAGCATGTGGATGGCTAGAACCTCCTACCTGGCAGCCTTCGTCATCATGGTTATATTTGTAAGTATGTTAGTGAACCATATTAATACCTGTCATTCCTGCAATCAACTTCCAGAAGTATGAGTGAAAAATCTTGACTTCTTTTCACTCCCCAGTGTACACCTATGCACTGAACATGGCATCAGGAGACTTCCCTTCTCTTTATCCTCTGCCCCCCCCAAAAAAAACTCTTCAACAGCACCAATTTGCATTCAAGTAGTTCCATTATGATGGTCAGACATCTCAAGGCAACTCACAGCAGCACTATCAATCACAATTTGATGTCAAGATACATAAGGTGATAATTGAGGCAGATGATCATTTAAAAAATAAGTTTTAAAAAGCATCTAAAAGGAAGAAAAGAGATGGAAAGTTCTAAGCAGGATATTTGAAAACTTGGGGCTTGGTAGCTTACAGCTCTCAATTGTTGACCATTTAAAATCGAGAAACAGGACAGGAAACTAGAATTGGAGGCGCCTTGATTTTTGCGGGGTTCAGACTGGAGGTGGTACAGGCACAAGAGCAAGACTATAGAGAGATTTGAAAACAAGAATGAAAATTTTAAATATTGAGGCACTTCTCAACTGGAGCCAGTGCAGGCCAACTAACTCAAGGATTTTGAATGAAATGGTTGCAGAGTTTTGAACGAATTTAAGTTTGTGGAGGGTAGACATTGGGAGGCTGACCAAAATATATTGGAGTATTTGAGTCTAGAAGTGATAATGCATGGATGAGTGTTTTAACAGCTGGAAGTAGCTTTTATGTCCCAGATTTTGGAGTACTATGCACACCCTTGTCTCGTCATCTTTCTCCCTGCTTTTATAAATTGCCTTTTAATACTTCTAATCCACTCTTTGCTTCTGTTTAATGTTTTAAAGTGCTCTGCATGCACCTCTGAATGAACACACAAACGTGAGTTGTAATGTTGAAAAAAGTGTTCATCCTGTATGAATAGGAAATGGGAGAGATTTGTTCTGAAGTAGATTGCTATTCACTTTAATTACTTCATTGCAGTTTTGCAGTAACTCTTACCTGATATGAGGAATTACTAGTTCAGTTGTTTTGATAAGTTTGCTGAAGATTTGATGGTTGTCAGAGATCATCATCAAGTGACTGTGTATTTGAAGCAGTTTGTTTATCTGAAATTATGTCACGAGTGTATTGTCAACTCTGGTTTACATATTGATTTCAGAATTGAGGGCTCAATGCATTAGAACTATGTGGCCAAGAAGCTCAAATTGGAAAAACAGCCCCATACTTACCTTAATCTAAAGATCGTACTTAACAAATTCTAAATAGCACCTTAGTTTTATTCTTACTTTAACTATTGAGAAAATTTTTTTTTTCCTGATGGAGCTACTGAATTAGTTAATTTCTTCAAAAATAATCCAGACACATTAAATATTAAGGATGGTTCAGTAAGATGCTTACAAGTGATCAAATAGTACTCTTCAAAAGAATTTACAAGATTTTATCATTATGGGGTAGAATTCAAATGACAGGGGATATAAAGTTGATATATTAGAACAAAAAATATCTTTTCTTTTTAATACCCATATCTCAGTAGACAGGTGGACTAAAATAGATGGGAAGGTCATTAAAGTAATGTACCGAGTTACTATTGAAGCAATTAGATGCTTTTCTAAAAAAGGGGAAAGAATGTTGTTATGGGATCAAACTATAGAAAATAGTAGCTTATTGCCCTGTTATAGATTCTGATTATGTAAACCTGTAACTAGAAATTGAATTGATGTTTGTAGGATTGAATATAATCAATTATTATTAAATGCCTCATATGATTCTGGAGTTCTTCACTACACAGAATGACAAACCAAAATTGAGCAGTGAAGTAATTAGGATAGATGAATGTTTTGGATTCTGTTTGATGACCATTGGTGATCAGGAGATATTCATGCAAAACATTCTCTCAAGAATTTAAATGATTACGTGGGCTGGGAATGGGTATATTGTATCAGGGTTATGGAATGCAGTTGAATTGTAGGGAAGAACTGACACTAAGCCTTTTTCCGCAGTTTTTCCGCCGCCTCCGCCTCCACGCTTACTTCTTTAACCGTGAACCTGACCCTCCCTCTACTGACCCCTTCTCCCGCCTCCAACACACCCCCTCCTCCTGGACACCACCCCAAGGCCTCCTACCCTCCCTCGACCTCTTCATCTCCAACTGCCGTCGAGACATCAATCGCCTCAACCTCTCCACCCCTCTCACCCACTCCAACCTCTCCCCCGCAGAACGTGCAGCCCTCCGCTCCCTCCGCTCCAATCCCAACCTCACCATAAAACCCGCGGACAAGGGAGGCGCAGTTGTAGTATGGCGCACTGACCTCTACATCGCCGAGGCCGGACGCCAACTCTCCGACACCACCTCCTACCGCCCCCTTGATCATGACCCCACCCCTGAGCACCAAACCATCATCTCGCAAACCATCCACAACCTCATCACCTCAGGTGACCTCCCACCCACGGCCTCCAACCTCATCGTTCCCCAACCTCGCACTGCCCGCTTCTATCTCCTTCCCAAAATCCACAAACCTGAATGCCCTGGTCGACCCATTGTCTCCGCCTGCTCCTGCCCCACCGAACTGATCTCCAACTATCTCGACTCCATTTTCTCCCCCTTGGTCCAGGAACTCCCTACCTATGTCCGTGACACCACCCACGCCCTCCACCTCCTCCAGAACTTTCAATTCCCCGGTCCCCACCACCTCATCTTTACCATGGACGTCCAGTCCCTCTACACCTGCATTCCCCATGCAGATGGCCTTAAGGCCCTCCGCTTCTTCCTGTCCCGCAGGCCCGACCAGTCCCCCTCCACTGATACCCTCATCCGCTTAGCCGAACTCGTCCTCACACTCAACAACTTCTCTTTCAATTCCTCCCACTTCCTACAGACAAAGGGGGTAGCCATGGGTACCCGCATGGGCCCAAGCTACGCCTGCCTCTTTGTAGGTTATGTGGAACAATCCCTCTTCCGTACCTACACCGGCCCTAAACCCCACCTCTTCCTCCGTTACATTGATGACTGTATCGGTGCCGCCTCGTGCTCCCACGAGGAGCTCGAACAGTTCATACACTTCACTAACACCTTCCACCCCAACCTTAAATTTACCTGGACCATCTCTAACACCTCTCTCCCCTTCCTGGACCTCTCTGTCTCCATATCGGGCAACCACCTCGAAACCGATATTCATTTCAAGCCCACCGACTCCCACAGCTACCTAGAATACTCCTCCTCCCACCCACCTTCCTGCAAAAATGCTATCCCCTATTCCCAATTCCTTCGCCTCCGCCGCATCTGCTCCCAGGATGAGGCATTCCACTCCCGTACATCTCAGTTGTCCTCGTTTTTCAAGGACCGTAACTTCCCCTCCTCGGTGGTCGAGAACGCCCTCAACCGTGTCTCCCACATCTCCCGCACCTCATCCCTCACACCCCGTCCACGCAATAAAAACCAAAAAAGAATCCCCCTCGTCCTCACGTACCACCCCACCAACCTCCGGATCCAACGCATCATCCTCCGACACTTCCGCCATCTGCAATCCGACCCCACCACCAAAGACATCTTTCCCTCCCCACCTTTATCTGCTTTCCGGAGGGACAACTCTCTCCGTGACTCCCTTGTCCGCTCCACACTCCCCTCCAGCTCCACCACACCCGGCACTTTTCCCTGCAACCGCAGGAAGTGCTACACCTGCCCCCATACCTCCTCCCTCACCCCCATCCCAGGCCCCAAGAAGACTTTCCACATCAAGCAGATGTTCACCTGCACATCTGCCAATGTGGTATACTGCATCCGCTGTACCCGGTGTGGCTTCCTCTACATCGGGGAAACCAAGCGGAGACTCGGGGACCGCTTTGCAGAACACTTACGCTCGGTTCGCAACAAACAACTGCACCTCCCAGTCGCGAACCATTTCAACTCCCCCTCCCATTCCTCAGACGACATGTCCATCCTGGGCCTCCTGCAGTGCCACAACGATGCCACCCGAAGGTTGCAGGAACAGCAACTCATATTCCGCTTGGGAACCCTGCAGCCCAATGGTATCAATGTGGATTTCACAAGTTTCAAAATCTCCCCTCCCCCCACCGCATCCCAAAACCAGTCCAGCTCGTTCCTGCCTCCCTAACCTGTTCTTCCTCCCACCTATCCCCTCCTCCCACCTCAAGCCGCACCTCCATCTCCTACCGACCAACCTCATCCCGCCCCCTTGACCTGTCCGTCCTCCCTGGACTGACCTATCCCCTTCCTAACTCCCTACCTACACTCACCTTTCCTGGCCCCATCCCCGCCTCTTCGACCTGTTTGTTTCCTCTCCACCTATCCTCTCCTCTATCCCTCTTCTATCCGCCTCCCACTCTCTCCCTATTTATTTCAAAACCCCCTTCCCCTCCCCCTTTTCTGATGAAGGGTCTAGGCCCGAAACGTCAGCCTCTCTGCTCCTATGATGCTGCTTGGCCTGCTGTGTTCATCCAGCCCTGCACATTGTTGACACTTGTTTTGTTTGTTTCAGAAGAAACAGCATTTGGATTCATCCAGTAACTACAATTACAATAGCCATTCTAGATCATGCCAATAATAGCCATTAAACTCACCACAAATATTTGAAGTGGGAAAGTGACCGAGTTCCTCCATGCCACACACAGGACAAATGGGAGGTAGAGGGAGAAGTAAATGATTCCACCGCAAGCGGCTGCAAGGTTTGCACCAGAGAAGAACGTGCTGATCAGGAAACACAGCATGATGGTAGAAACAGCAAAGGTTGCAAGGAATACAAATATAACAGAGGGGTTGCTGTATGGGAGAATCTCTCCTTTCTGTAACAAAAGAGAAAAGAAATATAATTCTTTGTTCTGAACATTGATTAGAGGTTTGACGAATGAGGCGTGATCTCACTGGAACTTACAAAACTCTTACCTGACATGATGCATGGACATTGATATTTCCCCTGGTATGTTAGTCTAGAACCAGGGGACATACTCAACTAAGCAGTAGGCGATCTAGAACTGAGCTGAGGAGGAACTTGTTCACTCAAGGCAGTGAATCTTTGGAATTCTCTATCAAATAGGGCTGTGAAGCTCATTCATGGAGCAGATTCCAGATAGAAATCAATAGATTTCTGGACACCAATGCCTTCAGTGGATATAAGGTTAGTGTGGAAAAGTGGATATGAGGTAGATGATCAGCCATGATCAAACTGAATGATGGAGAAAGTGTGATGCACTGAATTGCCTATTCATGATTTTATGTCCCTATTCAGGACAAGCATGCTGATCTTTTAATGTGTGCACACAAATATGCTTGAGAATTGTCCAACCTCTCTTTGAGATTATTATTACTTAAGTTGCAAACAAAAGATGATCAAGTTCCACTAAGTATGATGTTGCAGTAACAAAAAAAAAACCAATAGCATAACTGGAATGAAACACTTTAAAAGTTCTGATTGGGGGAAGTAAATATTTTGTGGTCTGTTTTCTCTGCCAGTTAGTAGATCCAAACTAATTACTCCAGACATGTCCAGAGCTTCCTCAATCATTATACAGTAGTCAGCTGGAAAACCATGAAACATGACTTCAAAAGACTTCATGAAAATACAAGGCTATTCTGTTTATGTCAGGAACTGTCCCTTTCATCCCCCATCCTTTTTTTTCATTCTTCACAAAAAGTGGGCATCACTAACCCTAACCCATCATGGTTAGGCTGGCATTTATTGAACCACCTTCTTGAATCATTACAGCCCATGTGTATTCCCACAATGCTGCTAGGGAAGAAGTTCCATGATTGTGACCCAATGACAGGAATGGTGATATATTTCCAAGTCAGGGTAGAGTGGGGTTGGGAGGGGAACTTGCAGGACATGGTGCTCCACACATCTGCTACCTTTGTCTTTCTAGGTGGTAGGTTTGGAAGGAGCATTGGTGAGTTACTGAAGTACATCTTGCACATGACACACATTGCTGCCACTGTGCATTAGTGGTCAAGGAAGTGAATCTTGAAAGCAAAGGATAGGGAAATTTATTTTATCTTCTAATCTCTAATCTTGTCTCTGCCAAAATGCCTATGACATTTTCACCCTGCCCAAAGGGATATTCTTCACACATGAAACCTCATGATGGTTCTGAGTTCAGGAATCTGGACTGTTTATTTCCCCACCTCATAACATTGGGGTATTGAAGTGAATTGTGACAGCCCAGCTGGGGTCAGCTAACTCTGAACTGAGCCGGGGCTGAACATAGAAACATGTTGCATTTAGCACTGGATGTGTAAATGCAGTTGATCAGGAAAGCTGAGGCAGCTTAAGTAGCATTGCAATTTAACTATGGTATTAAAATTACAAATAGAAAGAGACATTAATGATTATCACAGTAACTATGTGATTAAAAGGCCTCTTAGCAATAGAGATCCACCAAAATAAATCTATTTTACTCAATCCAGTAGACCTACAAATTAATTTTTAGCAACTATAACATATAGGAGAGATTAACATTGATGTCTTCAGATAATAAAGTAAACAGTTAAATATCTATTTGGATTCAAACTAACCACACTTTAAACTGCTTCAGAGATCATTTTAGTACTTTCTTTGTTGAATTAATATACTTTGAAATTAACTGTGCTTTAAGTATGTTGGCGAGTTCAAAGTTTAATCTCAACATGTGGAATCCTCTACATATATTGAGAGAAAACAGGAAATGAGGAGTGAATGCTGCGAAGAAAATTGGGAAGTTCAAATCTTCAGGTAAAGAATAAATTCAAAAGTTTGGTGCAAATGAAAAAACTTTTTCAAAGATCGTAGTTAATGATTATCACCAGTTCAAATTCTGCAGTACATTGCCAATCTATAGAGGAGTTTCATATAATTAATCACCACAATGTAGGAGCAAGCTCAAGTCCAGATTTCCCTGCCATGCATATGATTACATGTGATGCTGCAGCATAACACAGCTGTGGGATCAGTGGAAGACATAGTGGGAAATATGAGAAAAGCCAAGAGCCAACAGGTGGGCTTGCCATGATCACAAGATAATTATTGCTGATTTCCAGAAAAGGTTTTCAGGATGAAAGCCAACATACAAGAAATAGTCAAAGTTAGCAGAATTTAACATCTGCACTAGAACCCACAGGGGTTTGGAGTAAAGTCGTCACTGGGGTTAGTGCTTAGTCAGAAATGACAGGCGTTTGCAAGATGTGCATTGAAACAAAGATCAATAACTCCCTCAGCAATAGTCTTCAATTTGAAGATTAACTGAAGTTTAAAATATCTGTCATCTTGTTCAAATAATTTTGTCATCTTCAACCATTATAGAGCATTTACCTTCAGGATTAACGTGAGAAAAGCAGCACTGATGAGGAAAGGGATGAAGCTACTGATGAACCAGCTGACCCACAAAATTCCATTAGACAGTCCCATCATCTTCATTGTTTCCTTTAGTCGGGCCTCCTTCTCATGAACCAGCCTCTTGACTATCATTGCTACTGAGTAAATCCAAGACAGGATCATGAAGAGGGGCAACGAACGATTCAAAACTCGCAAGAAGCTGATTTAAGAGAAAACCAAAATTAATGACTTGTTTGGAAGAAGACAGACAATCAGTGAAACAGCTTGGAATATAGAGTTGAGTTCAGAAAGAGGATATATTTAATACTGCTCAGACTATCTGAATAAATAGTAAGTTCACAAGGAGTGTATTGGGACACACAAGACACAGACCAGGAATTTCAGAGGGTACATTATTGGCCTCAGTCAGGAGGATGGTTTGGGCAATTGTCTCATCGCTTGAAGTCAGTTTGGCAGAAAATTAATAAAGGGATTGAGAATCAGACTTGCGTTTCTTCCTGAAATATGCAACATAACTGACAGATGAGTATAAAGCCAATGTGTGCCATCAATTTAAATGGTCTATCAACATTTTCTAAACTATCTATGGTCACCTGGATGAGGTATCAGAAAGTGGCCAGGGACCAAATGCCAACAAGAGATTTCAAAAGAGAGAAAGAATCCATTGGAGTTCTATAGAAAGAACCCTGTGTTATGGCAATGTTAAACAGACATTTAGAATTGATTATCTGAAATTTACTACATCCCTTGGCACAAAATAACTGACATTATAATTGTTTCAAATTTGCTTTTTCAATTAATAGTTACATTTCACTAATTTATTCAATTTAGTAACAGCTACAAAACTAATCATAATTCAAATTATCCTGCTGGCTTTTAAAACTGAATTTGAAACACTAAATTTGTCTTAAGTTGCAAGATCATGAGGTAATTATTTTTGACAAAGAGCATTTAGCCCGTTTGCATTAATCATTACAAAAAGATCCTACTATCATAACCCTCCTACTGCACCATGCAATGAATTTTTTTAATGCTTCAGGTTTATGCCTCCTCCAGTCTGAAGATCAGAGAGCCTAGGACACAGAATTCCTGAAATTTCTCTCTTCACTAGCTTAAACTCATTCCTACTTACTCTAATCTTTTCACATTCCCTTAACTACCTTACATGCCTTTCTAAGATCACCACTCAGGAAACCTCTCCTTTCCAGGCTGACAAGTCCTCATCTCCCCAACACTTCCTAATATCTTTGGCCTTTGATACTGGGGGTTAGCCTCATGGTTTTTCTCTAAGCCACGAACTGTACTGAATATACAATTCTGATCAGCAGGAAGTAAGCTAGATTGTGGCCTATGACCAGACTACTTTGCACATTGAATACTTTTTCTTGTGGTTTGTTCTAGCAGTCTAGCTGTCTAACTAAAAGTTACATTTACTCTGTTCATTGTAAATGTGTTGATCACATTTAGTGTTGATCCTTCTGAAACTTTGAGTTCAATTTTCATTGTGTGTATTCCTTCAGGGAAAAAAAAGTGAGAAGTCATCAGCAAATAAAAACTGACAACCACAAATCCAATGATTTGCCTCTAAACGTCTCTCCAGTTTACACTGATTCTTGCTGGAACACAGACTCAATATATGCTTGGCATACCTGTACCCCTCTCAAATAACTATCTTTCATATAGGAGACAAAAGTGCTAGTTCCACAGGAGTTAAAGGGATAGTGATCGGGAATGGGTTAATGAATGGCTTCCCACCTCCAGAGGCCAATGCTGGTGTACTAAACATCTTCCTGGCTGAGATCAGCACACACCCAATACCGCACTGAGTGGAGCATTAAGCCACTTCAGTAATTAGATGATGTAAAGTTAGCACTCCATATAAATTTGTGGGTTAGAAATGCACAAATATATTATTTTGGAACAGTCAAAACGTGCTGAAAATAAAATCTCCTTAAATGTTGTTAGCTGGGATAAAATGTCAGGATGAGGTTCCTTTGTGTAATTTAGATTTGATCTAACAAAAATTCAGGAGCCACAGACAATGATGAAGAATCCCAGGTTGCAGGCTGACTAAACTAACCATCTACTATTCTGCTGCCTCCTCTGATGAGTCTGTTCTGCCAGCGGACAGGACAGGGATGATTGAGGAGGTGTCTGCGACACATGCTGCAAGGTATGCTCTGGTGAGTATGACATAACATCCAATTGCTTGACCAGTCATTGAGACAGCTCTCTAACAAGTCTCCAAATGTTAGTCAGCAGGACTTTTTGGGACATTCCTCAGCCTGTACTGTATGCTCCATTCTTATTCAACTTTTTTATTAGCAGTTTGCAGCAAATGAGCAACTTGTTAGGCCATTTCAGGGGTAGTTAAAACATCAAGCAGTGGGGATCTTTGTGAGCGAAATGAGGTAAGGCATTAGTGATCCATGCTGGTTTTTACTGCAACTTGATAATTCACAATTATCAATGACTAATCGCAACACAATTTTATTTCAGATTTATTAAAAATTAAATTTAAATTCCATAATTGTTGTGGGACTTGAACTCATGGGTGAGATATTCCCTATGGACTGGCATACCCCTCCCTCAGGGTCACATGGGGCCAGAAGTCTACACTGTGTGCAAAACACTCAGCCAGCAGACAGAGTCTCCAAATTAGCTAATTAGTAGACAGAGGGCAAGCCTGCTATCTGGCAGACTTGCAAAGTTGGGAGAGTCAGTAGGAGACTTTCCAACACTTAAAGAAACAAGCTGATTTTTCAGGCAAGTGAGAGGAGATGCTTTCAGATTGAGGCATAATCTCTCAAACTTTAGATTTCGGGCCTTTATTGTGTTAGCAATCTCTGTCACAGCTGAAGCCAGGAAGGAGGGAGGGTCTTTAAGTCACCTTTCAGTGCTGTCATCTTGGTCTGCCACTGGAAGGCCATTTCCAGGCAGCTACCACTTCCTTGACACCTCGAGATGAACTGGAAAATTATATTCATTCTCCGACACTTGCCATAAAATCAAAGACAATTGTTACCCGCCATCTGAGAGTGGGTAGCTCTGCTGTGCTCCCATCCCAACTCTAGGCAAATGGCCAGCAAGAACTGCAGATGTTGGAGTCAGAGACAACAGTGTGGAGCTGCTATGCTATGTTACGGTCTCTTTTATATTCATAAATCATCTATATCTGTTCTGGCACTTACCCATCATCTACGTAGCATGGATATGGCATCTGTTGTAAATAAAGTCCAGTCCTCTTGTGTTCATTGGTCTGTACTCGAATAATTGCCTGTTCCACCAAATCCTGGATGTAAACAAATCCTCCCCAGATGTACTGCAGGTCCCGAATTGTGAGTGCTTCAGGTCCTGGGTCCCAAAACCTAAAGAGGTAGCACAGCAAAGTAGCATTCATCACAGTAACAAGACTCGGCCAAATTCCTCCTTTTTATCTGATATTGAAAAATAAATCTCGCTGTAATTAAGTCTTCCTGCTTGGGCTGGAAGGGACATGTCGCTTGTACATTCCACATGACATTTCCAAAGCAGCTGTTCTGCTCAGAATTCAGTCACATCAGGAGACGCCCCCCCCACCCCTCCCCAAATAGGGATTTAAGCAGAAGCATTTGAGCGATATCCTTACAGTATCCCTAAAGAAATCAAACATGCCTACCAACTCTTGGGAGCAGCTTGCAACTGGCCAAAACAGAGAAAGTTTATTCAGGAATGCACCAAACACAGTTGGGGGATGTCAGTGGTAGCACACATGTCAATACCTGAGGCATTGGAGAGAGCACACCAACCTCCAACACCACCTGGCCTGCATGTGGTAGAATTTGCATATATGTATATATATTTACATCGTAAATTTGATTTATCAACCATCTCAGAACTCATTAAACCAAAGTGCAAGTAAGTTATCCTTGATCTGGAGGGACTGCTCAGGACGATGTCTTCCTGCCAATGGCAGTGCAACTTCCCTCAGCTACTGTAACAATGAAACTCCAAAACGCTAACCAGCTGAAAGATGAAATTCATAGTGCTTTATCATTCAGAATTATCACAGGCAATTGACAGGCAACCAGGAGGTTTTCTGATTTTTTTTGGTTACATAATTGAAGTTTAAACTTTTGCATAAACACATGATCTACCCACATCAACAGCATGTTAAAAATCTTATCCACACAATGTTTACTTCCAGTTGCCCCATTTTATCACATTTGTGGGCCATCTTTCCTAGTCCCAGCCCCTTGGCCCCAATGGTCAGAAAATGCAAAGCACCAAACAATGACATTCCTCAACATCATAAACTGCAATGATATTTGTGGTCACATACAGATACAGTGTCTGCAAAAATGACTGATTTGGCAATAGCAACTTAAGCAGATTTAGTATTCAGCCACTTTGATTCTTTCCAGGACAGATGGGCAACCTCAAAACACCAGCAGCTTCCCCTAAAAGTAAATGAAACTTGAGATGGAATTCACTCTGACCCTATTCTATCACTTCAAGCCATGACGGTAGTCAGAAATAAATGATTCAATTTTGTTAAGTGGCAAAGATAATATTTTGGAGAAAGTAACACATACAGAATCTGACACAGACATTGTGTAGTCAGGCTACAGCCATACTTCTTTTTGTTTAATAAAAGTAAACATAGAACCATTGAGAGATAACGTGATAGCTGAAGTTAATGGAAAGTGTTTTTTCACTTTCTGGGATACAACAGTTAATCACTTGAATCTGACAGCAGGCTTGAATACTTGATCACTTCAGGGAAATTTCTGGAATGACATAAAAAATAGTAAAAGAATATAGCCAGGCATTTCCTGGGTGTTAACTTTGCCTCTCCACCAAAATTCTATAACTAATATGGCAGGAAAATCTTCATCAACATGAATGAGATTTCTGGTGAAATCACAAGGATAAAGAATATCTGAGAAAATTTTCAACCTACATTCCAAAAAAAAACTGAGTTTGATTAACATGACACCATACCTATCCTTGATTTTGTGGGTTGGAGCGACATAATCAATGTCCATCCTGATCTTGTATTTGATGTGGGGCTGAAGGGTGGGAAACTCATCACCTGTCGGCTCATCAACCAAAAACACAACTCCAGCCCAGAACTGTCTCTCCTCCAGAAGCTGCAATGCCCGGACTACTAATTTTTCTTCAGTCGGAACAGCTTCTAGTTTATTCAGAGATATGCACTGTCAAGAAAAAGCAATAACCTTTACTCAGAACAATGTCCATAAGGAAAACGAAAGAGTGTGATTTAAAGTGGGATTGTAGTTTATATTTTTATAGAAAATCCAGGTAAATAATCAAGTAGTGTAGGATGTTAAAGATTAAAGAAAGAGTTGGAGAGAAATTGACAAGAATCAAAAACTACTGTTTAGATTATGCTATGTTGCCATTTGAGAACATTTTAGATTGTAGCTGGAAGCAATTCAGGAGGAGATGCTGGAATTCTGAAACAAAAACAGAAACATGCAGGTCAGTCAGTAGCTATGGAGAGAACAGACAAGTTAATGTCTCAAGCAAAAAGTGATCTTGACAAAGAATGAGTTACAGTGGAAGACTCAAGTCTTGATTTCAATATTTCAAAAAGATCAAGGACAAAGATTATGTAAGACAAGGTATTTAGAACCTTAGAAAAATGAGACAGCATTGACTATAGTAGCATCACAGAGTGGCAGTGAGAGAACATCATATTTCATGTCTCAATACTTACTACCATCTAAACAGGTCGATAACAATAGGCTATCTTTAAAATCACCTTGTGTGATACAAGTTCCAGGTATCAGGAAACAAAATCCCTACAACAGGTTTCATGTTGCACCAAATCCAGAGGCATCAGAGTTTAAACCAGAGACTCCAGCTTCCATTAATGAGCAGTTCCACTATCCACATTGCAGGGGACTTGCTCACATAGACAGCACAAGTACATGTGCTAAGATCTTTATTGCTTACCTATGGGCATTCCCAGGATAGACAGGGATGGAGGCAGTCCACTGAGAACTGAAAATATAAACACGGCACAGCTGGCTCAGGCACATGCTAATATAAGCAGATCATCAGGTGTCCATGTAAACAAAATTATTTGAGAGATTTATTTAAAGCCTCATCCTCTGCCTTGCTCCACTGGGACTTTCTCAAATTTCAGTTTTGTCAGTGATTAGTGTTCCTCTTTAACTTTTCCATTTTTGTTCCTCCCAAGCTTGTTCACCAGATACAGTCTTCCTCCTTCCTGCATCCATTCAGTGTTGTAGTCAAGATCATCTCTCATCTTCCATACTACCTCATGCTTTTCCAGGGCGGCTACAGAATTTCTGACCACCTTGTATTTCCTCCACTTTCTATGATCAAAAACTTTTCAGCTTGGTATTACCTAACCACAACTGGCATTATGAAACTTCTCCCTGGGACTCCCTCACAGTCCAGGCACACGATACCTCTGGGACTACTGAGCTTCCAACCATTTGGCTAGTCACTAGAGGTTGGGATTTCTTGTCACCGAGGGGCAGAAGCCCCACTCTTATGTTGCTAGGGAACCCAGATTATTACTTTGGGTAAGCCCACACTATAAAATTTATCCTGTTGAGAACTGCTCCATAACCTACAAAAATCACTGGCAATGCATGTGTATTTCATAGTGGCATAAATAATATTCTCAGCTGCTTCACATCAAGGGATTGCCATTTCACACTATGAAGAACATGAAGATAACATTCAATTTAATTGACAATGGCGACATTCATAGTTAGAGAGTTATAATGAAACATAACCTATGAAGTTATTCAATTTGAACATGAGAAGGTTGGTGTCATATAACGACAATTTTCTAAATCTAAATCTAAATCGGTTTCATTTCACAAACGTTCATACTTGTGAGTGGCATTCATAAAATATTTTTAGTTTTTTAACAAATTAGCTGACATTCTTCACGTTAAACATCAGAGTCAGGCTCTAATCCACTTCATAATTCAAGCTAAATTTATACAATACTCAATGTGAAAATGCCTCAGGGATGAGTAAAAAGAGACATCAGTCTTTCAATACTAATTAATTCACCACTAAATTATAATTTACCTTTTTTCTGAATCCAGAGAATTGTCAAAAAAATCCCTTAAACTAAAATTACTAAGTATTCTCACGCCTGACTCAAGTTGATTGGGTGTCGGGGTTACAAACTGTTAGAAAATGAATCACAGTCCAAATTTTCCTTATTTTGAAACTTTTTTTCCAAATTATATAGGTACAAGATTTCCAAATGTGTAGATTTTTTAAAAAAACTGTACTCCAATTTTGGAGCTTTGGCCAAGCTGAGGATCTCTCTCTGAACTGGAAACCTTTTAAGTGCTATAGGTTTTAACAGAAACATACCTCAAAGACCTGGGAGAAAGATTTGACCACTTGATCTAATTCTTCATAAGCTTGTTTCCAGGTGTAAATGGAATTCTCACTCTCTTGAGTTTGGCTCGACAGAAAGTTGGCAATACTTTTTGCAGTCCAAGAGGTAGAATTAAGTTGTAGATCAATAAGGGTAGCGATAGCAGGGTTCCTCAGCATTTTCTGATGAAGACAAAATAGCACGATTAGTTATTTTAACAAATGTGATCAAATTAGGCAACCTGTCCCTTCTTTGCTCTTCTGCCAGAGATTTGGATTCTTGAGTCAGATATCATGAAATTTATCAAAAACACAAACTACTTACCCATCTACGATAACAGACCTACAGTCTAGATTCTGTGTTTATTGATATTATTGTGTATTATGAATGCACAACTGACTCCATCATATAGATAGTAACTTAGGCAAAAGCAGTATTTTTATTCCAAAATGTCACATGCCTTGATGTCATGTAAACATTTTAAACCATTTGTCTGGTCTGGCATCTATGTTTTAGCACGACACTACAAATGAGAGTTGGAGACACTTAAATTTATTTGAGGAACTGTTAACACAGATGACACATAAATGATGAAAAAGCTGTAGCAGAACTGATGGCTGGAAATTTACAGGTCACCAGGAAGGAGATAGCAGGGAAGCATAAAACTACACTATGGAAGCAGCGGAGGTTGGCACCAACTGTCCAGCTTTTTAGGCCCACCTTAGCCAGGCATAGTGTGGCAGGTAGTGGGGCTGGGGTGGAGGGAAGCAACCCACTCGGTTTCTCCTCCCCTCCATGCTCATTATTCCCGCTTGCTGAAGCCTGACTTGAGATGATTTCAATTTTCTCATGCTCTGTGTTCCAGTGTTGCTTGCAGCATGCCTTTGCCCTTGAGAGCTACTCCACCTGTGCCATTACGTTTCATTTCTGTCAGCTATAACTTCTTTTTCTTTCAGCCATGGTATCTAATTTGATATGACATTTGTCCGTGTATCAAGCATAAAATCACTGAAATCTCCATTGTCATAAACATGTTCCATCAAATTCGAGTCAGCTGGATCACCAATTTCTCACAGGAATCCCTCAGGTATACTTTCTAATGATATTTACCCTACTGTATCAATCTCTTTGCGTGCGTAACCACCAACACTTTAAGCGCTCTGTACATATCCTAATCCTGCAAATCAGTTTTGGAAAGGAAACATATGGGATCTTGGATATTGCCAGTTGTGCAGCCAAGGCTCAGTCAGCAGTTTACTGGGCAGACATTTCAAAAGCGATTAAAGATTTCATAACTCACTGGGAAATATGCAATTACACAGGGTTGTCAAGTCTGGAAAACAGTCCTATCATCACTGAAGGCAGATCAGAAGACATAAATCATAAGTTTGTCAGAAGAATCAAATGCTAAGAGTAAGAATGAGCACATCAACATTTGAGCTCATTCAGAAATCTCTAGCTGAAGTTGCACAGGCAGAAAAGCAGTTTGATGAACAAATTGATACACCAGATTTGACATTGATGTCAGATAATGAGCCGTCACTACTTCAGGAACAACATTTCACTCTTTTGTTTTTCAAAGGAGAATTATCAATATCAGTGGCAAAGATAGTGCTAGGTAAGCAGTAATCCTTTAGTACCAATGATTGAGGATGTGAATGTCTAGTTCAACAGAAAGGCATCTATAGAGGGCAAATGATGATATCCAATCTCCTTAACAAGTTTAAGTAAAGAATTTATGTAAGAGCAGATTAATAATAAAAAAAATTGCTCAAACAAAATGAAGATAAGCTGCATACGACTTCATGGAAATCCATGGAGCCACAGCATCAGGACACAGTCAAAAAATAGTTGCCTGATCTAAAAATATAGGATGCTGCAAGGAAGAAAATACTTGTTTCAACAGAGCAGCAAACTCCCATGATGTGCACTGATGAGATTAAAGGTCCCTGAGGATGAGGTTATGGGACAACTACCTGATGTAGCAGGAAGAATCCCTATGTGAACGAAATTCAGGAGGCTACAGGTCTTCCAGATAAAGTAGAAGACCAACTACCAGGCTTAAAGGGAACAACATCCTTCACAAAGGACATTCAAGAAATAAAGGATTCGAAAAATGATTACAGGCCAACTCGGGGTCAAGATCAGCATCGGGGTCAAGATCAGAATCAGGGCCAACAGTCCTCAAGCAAGAAAGTTATTAATCTTCCAAGCCCAAAGACAGAATTCTAAAAGAACTGTAAGAACTCCAGATCAACTATATTTTCGAAGTCAAATATTTTGATGGAGAGGGTGAATGATGTGGTGGTAATTATATACATGAATGAACAACTTTTTAATTCTGGATTAAAGCTTGGGGGGTTGATGTTCTATAAAGTTGAAAAGGTTCTGATTGTGTTAATATTGGAAGCTTTATTTAGATCCATTCACTCAATCTGATGATGTCAGTCTTGGTGGAGAAGCAGGAATCTGGTACGAGGTCCCAATGGAGAGGGGCACATCATCCTCCTTTCCTGTTAGTGTTAGAAATTGTTGAAGTAGCCAAAAAATCTTATACATATTATATCTTGTTAAGACAAGTAACTCTTTTTGTTAAGACTCACTCCTGGTTCATCTTTTACCACTGCTAATCCAATAAACTCTTAATTCTCCATTCTATATTCGGTCTAAGGGGTTTTGGTGGTGCAGTTGCAGTGTCCTACCTATAAACCAGGTATCTAGTAACATCCCTGAATTAGGTAGCTTGAAAATATAAAACGACCTGGGTTATTTCCGCTGACACAAATTTTTGGGGTTCTTGTGGTGCAGTGGTAGCATAACTATCTCTAAGCCAGGAGATCTGGGTTCAGGTTCCACCTGCTCCAGAGGGGTGCAATAATATTCTTGAATCAACTTGACTGGAAAATATCTGAAATGGAGGATTAGTGGCGGCACTCTATCCAGCCATTAGTTGTAGTGGCAGTTCTGATGACATACAATGATCAGCCCTAGAGTTTCTAATTTTGTGTTAAGTTTCACTTTGCCCCTTAGATACAGTTCATTAAATCATACCCTCTCCATGACCATTACCCTCAATTTATACAAATTACCATTAGCTGATTATGCCACAGATTTGCTGACTGTGTTCATAGTGGGAAAGGGTTCCAGAACAGACTTTGAGGCTAGCAATAGTTGCCTATTTCCACACATACAATAGAAAGAGCTAATCTACAGTTGTTAAATACAGATTTATCTACTGGAAAATCACAACTATAATGAAAAAATCATAAAGCTATCTTACATGATGCTAATTCATAAGCACCTTGAGAACTGCTTACTAACAGTATCCCATTACTGTACATTTCAGTAGATAGCTTTAGACATTGTCTTTTCATAACATAATTGAGTCTTTAACAGAAAAGAGATTCTCAAAAATCTCCTTTCCTGGTAGGACCTTTCAATCTTGCTTATGAGGAGGAGCTGTCAGGAGCCTGAGCCTCAGGAGATTGAGCTTGTAACTAATAGAGATCCCAACTCTGCCCACTTCAAAAAAAAACTTCAATAGAGTTGAAGTAACATTCACCTGCCATAGCGTTAGCTTTGTTGGCACACTGACATTATCGGTGTCAAAACACTTGGAGGCAATTCACCCTTCACATAATTATTAACTAGCTTTTATGTTGTACCTGATTATCCAACTCAAGGTAATAAATTATATTAAAAATGCATCAGTCATTCTGCATTGGAAACTATTCTCAAAAAGTTACCTAAATAGAACATGTGGATAAGAGAGAAAGATCTTCAAAGAATACCATTGAATTTTTCATGTTCAGCTGAACCAGAAAAGGGTTCAAAGTTTTGCCCAGTGAAGCACCCCTTCAGTCCCACACTTCAGTACTGCATGTAGCAATGCTTCAATATTGCTAACCCTGGCCCTAATGGTTCTGACACAGAAGTCAGAGTTTCAATTCAGGTAAACTAATAAATGTGTGAAAATGACAGTAAGGGAAATACTAACTTGCAGGAGTTGGATTTCCTGACTACTTTCCATAAACTTCCAGATCTGGGGTCCAGCTTCATTCCATGCTCCTTGTACCTCTTGCAACAAGCTTAGATCCTCAAATGTTCTGTTCACCTGATAAGAGAGAAGGAAAAACAACAGTTAGCAACTTCAACATATTCAAGCCTGGTTTTCAATTCCAATTGTCAAGATATGGTCATCCTGCACTGACACATCATGGATCCCATTTACTTATATCCAATAAGAGAGGAATCATTGGATAATTAGTTGCTTGGATTTTAGTTAACTCAGTATGAGGTACATGAAGTAGCAAAAACAGCCAGTTTTGTCAATCAAAACATTTGTTTGTTCATGTTAGGAGTGTACAAATTTAATTCTTTACGTGGTGAGAAAGTTGCTTTGATTTGTTTAAATGGATCAACCCAGCATGTCACTAAAAGTTAGAAATTTCACCACCCAGAAATCCTAAGTAGTTAGCTACTGTGTAAAAACAACTTGGTCAAGCTAAAACAAACCTTCAAATTGACAAAAATCATTGCAGAAACTAACCCCTGACAGGCATTCAAAACTTGTTCTGATTTTGTATTTTATGAACAGTGAACCACTCCAATTACATAAATTTCAGCCAGATATTTTTAGTCCTAAAATCACGTACCTCTTTCATTATCTTCAGTGTAGCTGGAGTATCTGGGCTGTACAGTATCTTCCCTACAAATAATGGCTTGATACTTTTCCACATAATCGAAGAGTAAGATTCAAGAGTCTTAAGTAGATCATTACAGTGAGGTGCTATAGAAAGCAAGGTGAAAAATTCAGTTCAGATCACAATTACAGTCCTTTTTAATATTCTGTACATTATTTGCACCAAACTTCATCCTCACCTCAGTTGTTCTAAAATCTTAAAGTACTCAAAATAAAAATTCCTAACTTATAAAAATCAGGAGCTCAAAATTAAATTTGGCACCATTAGAATGAAATAAATATCATGCCTTTACAACTTTCACAACCTCAGAACATCACAACATACATTCCAAGCAGCAAAATTCTTCATGTACAGTCACTGTTGAAATGTAAAAAACATAGCTGGCAAATTTAATACGACAAGATCCCATGTGCTTTGATCCTTTGTTTATAAAGCTGTTAGCTACTGGCCAAGACGCTGAGCTGCATTCTCCAGATTTTCTGTGTTTTCTCTTTACAGCTGCTTAAGGTGGCAGTCAGATTTTGAGTTCAAGATCTCCTCTACTATCTCATGGGACAGGTACAGAGTAAGCGCACTCTAAGCTTTCCTGGATAAAGCTACCTCCTGCTTATTCAAAGTTTCCCTCTTAGCCTATTTGATTTTCCCCAATATGATACATATGCACTATATTGTTCACATCATCAGTCCATTTATCTGTCCAACATCAGAACAGCTCAGCAAGATCAAAATCTATCATCTTTGGAAGCTTAATGCTTTAATGTGACCTTATCTAGCTCCATGATCCTGTTCAAAACTCACCCAATGGTAGAAAATCTCAGGGTTACTTTAGATTCTGTACTGAGATTCAAGCACTATAGCGCATCCATTACCATGACTACCTACTTCTACTTTTAATATGTTGCGAGTCTCTTTAAGCAATGGCGTGCATGGTACTTTTACTCACCACAATATCATCTCCACACTGATTTGTTTCCAGCAGTTCCTTGTGAATTCCCCTGAACTTAACCCGAAATCCACACCAGGTCTCCTCACCGGTTCCACTATCATCCCCATGCTCACCCACTTTTTCTGCATTATATACTTCCAAACATTCAATCCTGATTCTACACCAGCTTCAGGAGCTTCAAACATCTTGTCCACCCTCTGCCCCAAAACTTCTCTATCTCCAACAACCTCTCTTTCTCAGTAAGTTCAACCACCTCCTAATTCACTTTCTAATCTACTTAGCCTGATTTCAAAAGGTGAACACATAATGATGCACATTAATTCTAACTTCGTGATGGTTCCAAGTAATAGATTTTCAGTTTTTATCATTTTAATGTGAAACAATAGTGGTTTGAACAACCTCCAGTTGGGCACTGTAACAAAAATCAAAGGCTGATGAAAGCTTACAAAATAAAAACAGAAGCTTGTCAAACTTAAAATATCATTCCCAAAGATGATGATGCAACCCATCCCCTGCAGTATCCACCAATCATAAAAGGTGCTTTCTGTACCAGTGGACTTTGCACGTTTCCCCTCTATGAGCACATAGTAACCATAGAAATCAGGCACACAGATGTGCATTAAGACCCCTCTGAGGCTGCTAGTTGGACCATCAATGGCCATCAATTTACCAGGTCCAGGAGTAGCCTAGTAGGCGGTCCTCAGATGTTCCCACCCCTCATTGCACAGTGTATCCATAGATTAGGAGCATAAAATTTCCAGTTTCAATCCTTTTAAATGAACAATATTGGTTTAGACAGCCACCAGTGAGTCTCTGTAACAAAAAGGTACAAAAGGAAACCTGGATACCTGGGTTACGTTGAGGAGATTATACAAATTAGGCCTGTTTTCTCTAGAATTTAGAAGGTTAGGCAGTGATCTGATCTAAGTCTTCAAGATATTAACAGGAAAAGACAGGGTAGATAAAGGTAAACTATTTCCACTGGTTGGGAATTCTAGAATTAGGGCCAGAGTGTTCAGGAAAGACGTTAGGAAGCACTTCTACACACAAAATGTGGTACAGGTTTGGAACTCTCTTCCGCAAATGGTAGAGAATGTTGGATCAGTTGTGAAATTTCAAATCAGGGATAATATTTTGGCTTAAAAAAAGTCTAAGGACTATGGGCCAAAAGCTGGTATATAGAGTTAGGCGATAGATCAGCCACGATTGCGTTGGATGGTGGAACAGGCTCAAGCGTTAAATGGCCTATTCCTGTTCCTATGTTCCTAAAATGGAAATTACCAGAGGTGATGGTGCACCAGTACCTGTACAGCCTATTAGTCTCCAAATGCCTCTACTGTACCCATGGAATCAGCATGCCCTTCTCCATGGGCAACCGTATATGCATGTAACCATGAAGAAGGGGCAGACAGTTGGGAATTATGACCTCCTTCACAGACCACTGCCTGGACCAGTTAATGGTCACCTTGGCCAGTTCCAGAAGCAGGTGATGAGGTCCACAGATCTGCTCGCCCATCTTCACACAGGGTGTCCACAGATCAGGGAGTGTGGGATTTCCAGTTTCTGTACAAGCCAATCTGTAAATTGCCTTCAATAAGATTGTCAATTGTCAATGGTCAATGAATTAGTGCATGATTTGTGCTGCAGACCCACACCCATTTGAAGCTGGGCTAAGACTGCTTCAACTCAAGTTAAGTATGTGAATGTTTTTCTTTCAATATGTATTGAGAGTGTAATCATACAGTACTCACATGTTAAATTGCTAAAAGTGATGATTTTCTCATCTGTGCTATTCCTGCCAAAGAAAGCCTTGTAGTTATCATCTTCATACCAGTTCAGGAAAGGTATCTGCAGGCCACCTCCATCCGAATGCCCGCAAACAATCTTTGATATTGTTTGAAACATCATCGTTGGTGATCTGGTAGCGTTTGGACTAGTTAACCACTGAATTGCATCCCGGAATTCAGAAAAGCTGGTCATATTGGAAAACTTGTGACACAATCATAAGAAAGCAGAAAAAAAAAATTCAAAAACATGAACAGATGTTGTATTATTGCAAATCAAGATGTACAAATGCAGGACACCAGCAACATAGAAAACAAAATGAGTGAGGCAATGTAAATTTACCAGTAGCCGCAAATTAACACTTGAAATAAATGAGAAAGTTGTCTTTTACCAGCTTGAATCTTAGCTCCTGTGTAGTAGTTTTACAGATTTACCTTTTATTATTTTTGATATCTCAATGAGATCCCTATTCAGTCAGCATCACCTTTGAAGGGTGAAAAGCAAATTCTTAATAAAACACACTTCTCAATCTTATCCCTTGAATGCCTACAAGACCAAAACTGGGCAGGGTACATAAGTTGTGAGCCGATAAGCTCACACTACAATTTTTACACTAATTTTCAGAATCATAATTTCTGTTTATAAAATACCAGAAAGCAATGTCTTTGTTAATGACTGGTATCTGAAGCTTTCACTCCATTTGGCACAAAGAATTTTTGGAATAAGAAAATATTTTCCATTCTCTTCAATCATATCAAACGAAAACCATCTTGGGAAATATATCACCTTTTGATAGTTTCCTTACAGTTATGAAGGCCAAGTTCCAAGAATTTGTTGTACAATGGGCATTGCTCCTCCTCTCCCGTTGGTTTTGTGTTCTTTACCAAGGGTTACCCACAACTACATCACCACCACAGACAAAATAATTCTCAATTATCTTTCTACAAGAAGCAAGATTGCAGTCAGAATGGAGCTAGAGGCTGTCAAATCAGTCCATCCAGCACACTCTTGTCCATCATAAGCACCAAATATTCATGAACATCCTGTGTACAACATATCCATTAAGGATTCGCCAACAGTGCCACATCTTACATGCCATTTGTTACTGACCATCAGTGTTGACTTAGCCCCATTTTAGCCATGCTAAAATGCAGACTAGCAGAAAATAAAAATTTCAAGCCCAATTTATAAATCAAACCATGGCACATTGCATGCAATAATGACTCTTGTGCATTCCCTTAGTATCTTTGCCTAGCCTAGTGTTCCTGCACAATGCTACATCAACCTACTGAACACTTCCTCATCAGTCAACTCCTTCAACCAGAATCCATGCAGTGAACCTTCTCTGAACTGTTTCCAATGCAAGTATGTCTTGCATTAAGTATCGAGACTAAAAGCTATACACTGTACTCCAGATGTAGTCTCAAAATGCATAGCTTCTCTACCATCCCCCTTGAAATAAAGGTTAACATTCCATTTGCCTTCTGAATGACTCCCTGTTAACTTTTTGTTGATAACCAGATCCCAGATTTCTTTCTCCACTGAAATAATGTATGGTTTAACTATTCTTCCTGCCAAAGTAGACAAACACCTTTATCACAACATACTTGATCAGCCAGTTTTTTCGTCCATTCACTTAACCCATTGATATCCCTTTTGTATCTTCCCCAGAATGCATTTTCCCATCTTTATATCATTGGAAAATGTGGCTACAATACACATCAGTCCTTCCATTCAAGTCATAACATAGAATAGCTGAGACTGCAGCACTGATCCTCATGATAGTCAATGTTTTCCAACCTAAAAACACTGATTTATCTCAATTCTGTTTCCTGTTAATTAGGCAATTGGCTCTTCATGCTAATGTATCAACCGTAATGTCATAAACTCTTGTACAGTAACCTTTATTGAATGCCTTATGGAAATCCAAATACACTACATCTATCAGTTCTCCCTTAACCACCCTACTTACTCAAAAAAATCTCTAGCAGATTTGATAAACATAATTTCCAGTTGACAAGCATGTATTACAGGCTGGCCTGAAGCAGCTCTGGACCTAGAAGATCCAGGTTTAGACTACACCACCTGAGAATGGGCAGCAGCAGTTTGTGCTGGATGGCAAGCAACAGCAAGGGCAATGCCAGAGTGGTAGGGATGGGAGGATGAATGATGTCATCCTGAGAGGTCAACAAGTTGATATTGACAGAACAATTACCATCTCTCGGACTGGAGCTTCAGCAATCCGAGCAATGTGGAGGGCAGATTGCTAGAAAGCTGTGACACTTTACAACACCCTGTGAACTCTGCAATCTACAGGAAAGATAACAGCCGTCTGAGCCTGCTTAACAACATATTACGTTCCTATGAGAAGAGGCTGAGCTTGTATGGCAATAAGGTTACTTTTGAATGATAGATGCCAGAGCTTCCTCTGCAACATCCAGGTGTTGGATTTCTACTCGCATTGCCATTGAAGCGGAGACACCAGCCAGTTGGTTAACATGGTTAAACGTGCAAGTTTACTAATGAAATTGACAACCACTTCCACACGAGAAAAGGAGGATCAGGTCTCTGTCCAAGGCTTATGATACCCAATACTTCCATACACTTTGAGTCAGTGACCACAGGCTTTCGGACAGGTCTGACAATATACCCGGCATTTTCTCATGCTGCTGGCTCCACCAAACCTGAGTCTTCTGCAGCAGAAACTGTATGCAACCTCATCCTCTGCCAAACATTCACATCACTCACCTTGGCTGCAGGTCATTCATTCATTCTTACCCAATGCAGGTCCTATGTGAGCTGGTGAGGCAATGGCCTAGTGGTATTATCACTGGACTGTTAATCCAGAGACCCAGATAATGTTCTGGGGACCTGGGTTTGAATCCCGCCATGGCAGATGGTGGAATTTGAATTCGAGAAATATCTGGAATTAACAATCTAATGATGGCCATGAATCCATTGTCGATTGTCAGAAAAAGCCATCTGGTTCACTAATGTCCTTTAGGGAAGGAAACTGCCATCCTTACCTGGTCTGGCCTACATGTGGTTCCAGACCCACAGCAATGTGATTGACTCTTAACTGCCCTCTGGGCAATTAGGGATGGGCAATAAATGCTGTCTAGCCAGCGACACCTTCATCCCATGAATGAATAATAAAAAAGTCAAAAATAAATGCAGTGCCACCAGTTGAGTTGGTGGCTGCAAATGAGGGCAAGTGACAGCATTTTCTGCCGATCACACTTCAAACACTGTGATCAGGGGTGGCATTTGCTCGTTGTAACAAGGGATCCAACAACAGACTGGAAGTGTAAGGGACTTCTACTCAGAGATGGTACAGCTGACTACACAGCAGCTGACCAACTAGTCATTCATGTCGAGGAGCCTAGCTTTGTGCAGCACGGGTGGTAATAGGAGTCAAAAACCTCATCATTACTTCACAGGGTCAAGGATCCGGCACTGATCTCGCTAGCCGATGTTTTAAATCTGTAAGTTAATTGAAAGAGAGTATACCTAATTTGCACATTTCTTATGTCAGAGATAAAGAGTTTGTGCCTCACTCTGGCTAAAATTGGATTTCAATGAATGGATCAGAGGTCTCATTGCACCAGCGCCCTGGCTTCTACAGCTGGAACCGTACCACATTACACCTCAGGGCCCTCTGTTTCTTTCCTGTCACCTTTAAATGAGGAATGAATCTGGATTCTCCACCTCCCCAACAGAATTCCTCACTTTTTTTGTGCAGTAGCACAGCAAGGCTGTGTGGAGTGCAGCAGACTATAACAATCCAAGAGGCTCCCTCTACACAGTATACTGCAATGCTCTACTTCAGCAGTTAAAGCAACAAAATCTTCAGTCCAATCACCCATTCTATTGTTGCCCCAGTTGAGGTACAGGAGGCATCATACATCTTCTCAACTGGGATTTGCGTGTTCCACACAGTGGATATCACCTGCTACAGGGGAGCCATCCCTGCAGTTGTGCCATGGGAACCAACAGCACCTGAGTGTTACTGAGAATATACAAATCACGTCATTTCTTCACTGCACCATCCAGCTCTCTCCCTTTCTCTCCAACAAGTTGTTCACCCTTCACTGGTTAGCTATACTCCGGTCTGACTAGACAGCTGTCGTTGAGCTCAATGCCACAACTCAACATCCTCTCCCCAGTCCAACCAAGTTCTCCATAGAAAATGACCTGGTCCTGCTCACTCAAGTGCTACCACAAAGACTACCTCACAATGTTGTATTTAACCATTTGTAATTATGAACGGATGTGCTTCTTATTTGTGGCTAACTCAACTGCAAATGTACAATCTCATGTGTTTTAACGAACATGTATGAATTTCTATTGCATTTCAAATAGATTCCCATTACATGCTCTTGGGAAACCCAATCCACCATTGACTTATTACTCACTTTAATATCTAGTTGTGTAGTTCACTTTTTCTGCTTGCACAATTAAGTTCCCTTGACTGTCTCATATCCCACTCCTGGGAGCAGCATTAGATTCCCCCCCCCCCACCTCCCCAGATTGCAGTTCTGACACATCTGAAAGGAGAAATGTACAAAGGTAGGGGCTGCGGTGAAACAAGGGAGGAAAACATGAGGTGCATGCTTACACCACCTCAACCTGTGGATCAGAAGAAATTATGCAGTAAGTGGTATGGGGAGGAACATTAGGTACAAATATATCATATTCAACGATATCAGCCTCAATGTTAGCCACGGCCTTGGTCATCGTCACTCCAATGATGGCGCATACTACCATCCTCCACAGAGGTATGTGGTACATGGCACCTTGTCTTGAAAGGCATTGAAGAAGAGGAGTATCAGTGAATATGATACAATGCGTTTGGATGTTCTGGGTGTCATAATTAAATAACTGGCTGTATGTGAAAGTTACAAGAAGCAGCTGCAAGTCTTGCAGCAATGTTAGGTTTGTGAGGGTGAGATGACTTACAAATGTTAGGAATGAGTCATGGCTGATGGATAATATTGAAAATGAGTGATGAGGTGCAATTGGTGAGACACCACATTTGAAGATACAGTTAGTGACCTTGACCACTTGGGGAAGGTCATTGAACTTCTAACACAGTATCCAAGTTCACACAGCTAGATTGCTGGGATTCACTAACATAGCTGTTAAGTTTCGTCAAAATATTGGAACCGGTCTGTAGATTTTCCTGTTGTCCTGCAGTTAGAGGA